CCTCGAGAGTTTCGGTGTTTAGGGTGTGGGGTTTAGGGTTTAGGGTTTGGGGTTTAGGGTTTAGGGTTTCGGGTACAGGGTTTAGGGTTTAGGGGGGTTAGGGTTTAAGGTTTAGGGGTTTGGGGTTTGGGGTTTAGGGGTTAGGGGGTTTATTTGGGTTCTCGCTAAGTAATTTATTTTAAGGTATTAAAATAGGGTCGACTATAGTAGATAATTATATGGTTTCCTTATTATAGTGACTTAGATTAGATCCCTAAACAGGAAGCCAGTTCTTCTGGCTCAGCCGGTTACTGTACACAGGGTTTAGACCCTAAGCCCTAAACCCTAAACCGTAAACCCTGGTCGGAGACATTCAGAGATTCGAGGCCGTTTGGGTCTGATGTCAGGATGTGAGTAGCACCAGCGTTCCCATTTTCGATTTCTTCAGGGAAGTCTTATGGGAGTGGTGCCACACGTTCTACGCGTTCTTTATGAAGGGGTTGCTGTGCCAGAATACAGCGCCATCAACCGCAAGAAGCGGGCGATGGAAGCTTCGAAAATAGGGTGTATAAGCCGCAAGCAGTGGATACCATATAAGCCCATCCCTCCCTGCTATAAACACCGGCCGATTCAACCCCCATATCATCCGGCTTGCCAAGGAATCCGGCATACGCCGCAAACGGAAGCCGCAAAGCCCTAGTATACCTTAGCTGGTAGTAGAGTATGTAGCCTTTAAACTCTCGTAGGCTAGCATAATTCCTGCAGAATTACTTTAATTAGTTCCCTGGGGCTGGACAAGTAACTAAGCTAGAACCCTTCACCCTATGCCGAACAGAAGCGTAAGCTTCAGGTATAACGTCACTGCGCAGCGCCAGATCACCCGCAAGGAACTGAAAGAGGGTATCGAGGGCGCGCGCTCCTGGCACCACCAGTACAAGGACGACTCGGGCTTTTGTACAGGATTCAAATGCTAGTTTCGCTGTAGGGTATTAGATTATGTTTTGGGTCAAGTGTGTTTTTGGTATGGGGCCGGTTAGGGGTTTAAAGGTTTCGAATTCGCAGGCAGGGTTGCGGCTTACGTAGTTTATGGTGGACTAAGGAGATCTGATCGTCTTGCAATGGTGACTCCCTTGCTGAGAGGTCGGGATAGTTTGTAAGATCCCGTTCTAGTCCCTACATACCTGGAACTACCAAAAACCTAAGTTTTTTGTAGTATTCCTATGAATTCTCTCTTTGGGTTTAGAATAAGAAGCTACAGAGGCAAGTTATGGTTGCTTAAGGGTAGGCATGCTACAAGATACCCTGAAACGCTACTCGAGCTGCCAAGGCCCCTGTATGTTTTGATTGCTCAGCCGCGGCAGATGTCAGAAATGGCAGGTTGGCCCCAACCCTCGATGTAGGGGCCTAAACAATTACCAATACTATTTTGGCTGGTTCCTTGTCATAAATATATAGTAGAATGGGCCCCAACACCCTTTACCAATTATCAAGGCCCCTATGTTAATACCCTGAGCCCCTAAACCCTAAACCGCACACCCTAAACCCTGAACCCTAAACCCCGCATGCTCAATGCCGAAAGCCGTTAGGACTCCGCCTACATCTACATAGGCGGCCTTCATGACGGCCTCACGGAAGGCGGCTTATAGTGTTTCGGGTTTAGGGTTTCGGGTTTGGGTGTTTGTTTCGGACCGTAACTTAGCCAAAATCTGTTCTATAGTCGCTGTAGATCCGCAGGCTGGCAAGTTGCCATAAGCTCCTTAACCCAACAAATCCCTCCTCCGAAACCTTATAGAAATTCCGACAAGGGTTCGGAATGATGATCAATGGCGTTCGGAATGCGTAATAGAGTCATACTTGAGACCTTCAACATCTGCCAGGGCTTGTTGCGACGTCCTCAGCTTATTTCTGCCAGTTATGGCTTCTTTCGTGCCTTCGGCCAATGTTGCCGTAAGTATACTACAGACCAAGACCTTGAGCACCTGGAGCAATGCGTGAGTGAAAACCCTAGCCTCAGTGTTCAAACAAGCACCTCCGTTACATTCCTTCCCCAGGCCCCCGGGAGGATCCAAAAAGTAGATCCCCTAAGTAGGTTCCTATAAAGTACCCTTTACTAGTTAGGGTCCCAAATTAGGGGATC